AGTCGCCGACGACACAGAATGAAGTGACATCCTCGGCAACCTTTTTGCCATCCACATGTAGCTGCTGCTGCAAGTCCAGCGAAATCAGTTCACCTGCAATTTTAGTGAAAATGTTATTAGAATCGATTAAACTTTACAGCAGCTCAATAACTTACCAGATGGATTAGAGGGAGTTGTGTGCATTATCATGTAGTTTACGGGAGTTGATAGCTGCAAAGAGTTGCGCAATGTCTTCAGCTCACCGTTGGGGGTCAAGATGATCTCGTAAATCTGCTCATTTTCGAGGGTCTGGATATAGCAACGATCCTTGCTATCATTAGGCACGGTGAGGGCATTCACAGTGCCAGGAATTCTCGAGGATGTTTTCAAATTTCCCTTGAGCAGCAAAAGGATGTTCGTCTCGTTATCCACACTATTTACGGCCAGCAAAAACTCATTGCCAAAGCAGCTTAAATTGGTCAACTGGTTTCTCGACAAGGGCTGACTCAGCTGGCAATTAAATTCAATTCGATCGTCTTTTGGGTGATATAAGTATATACAATCATCGCTCGTATATAGATAAATTTCGTTTTCAGACGTGATCACAGCATTTATGTCGCTCTTCAATTGGACGACGCGCCAGGCCATGGGCGGTGGTATCACAGCTGTCGAGAACTTGGTCAATAGCAAACGCTTGCCATCGATGACATAGACAATATCCGTGCTAGGCTGGCAATCGATGCCAAAGCGAAAGCGATGGGTATAATGTTTGCCACTCTTCAGCAGAATATGCAGTGTGTGCTCGGCACCAAGGCGGTTGTCCCAATGGAACAGAGCAAGCGAATCATATTGCTCCTCAAAGACCAGCACCTGTTTGAGATACCAATGATAGTTGCCAATCGTGTAGAGATAAATACTCTGCTTTTCCTCAGTCTTGGTGTGCAGCGCCAGGATGTCTGAATCGTCGCTCCACGCCAACTGCACAATGGGCTCCACTGTCAAATCGAATGGCAAGTCGAATTCACGATGACGCAATCCGTTCTTCTCGAACAACGCCACAGTCGATTTGCCGGATATGATTTGTGGCTGGGCAATCCAATTGCCGCTCGGCCGCCAGGCTATCGGTGATTGCAACCCATTCCATTTCTCTGCAGCATACTGCAGCTTGCCCTCAGAGTCGTAGACGTTAAAGGTGCGACCCACGTTGGCGGCCACATAGGACACAGCAAAATAGGAACCATCGCCGCGCCAGGCAACCTGCACCTCCTGTTTGCCAAACAATACAATTGTAAAAATGTTTATGTACATGTGCCAAACTTTGTCACTCACCTGCGGCAGCAGATTGACATTTGATGGGGCAACAAACTCCGCTGACTGCTTGGCCGCCTGCTTGCCAGCTGACCCATGGAACTGTGTCTCTTTCTTGCCCCAGCCGACGTTCACGAACTGCTGATCGTCAGCGAGACTCGCATCTAGTGGCTGTTCAGCCAGCACATCATATGTGCACGTCATTACAACCACATTCTTTGTCTTGGTTATAAAGGCAACCACCTCCTGATTGGGTGACCAGGCCATGCACTCAATGCCCACATCACAGTAGGTGCCCTCACGCTGAAACAGCGTATCAGGATCGATGAGCATCACCTCGCCGGCAGCCGTGGCAACGCATATTGCGTTATCCAGCTGTAAATACTCTGCGCCGACAATGTCCGGCAGTTCGGCAACAAGTTTTGGTTCCCGTAACGAGCTGGCATCGTTATTAACAGCGTATATATTGCTGTCAGTCACAATGTACGTTGTCTCATGGCCACTTCTTTCGAAATCCGGCTGAAGCAAGATTTGATTGCCACTTGGAATACCAGTTCTCTGCTCCTTACAATATTGTAGCTTCAGATTTCGCATTTTAGTTTTACTTACTTATTGTCATGCAATGACAACAACGTGCGCGAATCTAAATACCAAATAAGAGGCACAAAAATACTTCAATATCGATTACACTTATATCGAATATTAATCGAGCTATTATAAAATTACACACCGCTCTATTGCTGTTATTAGTTTATATAATTATTAGCAAATGCATATAAAATAGCAAGCGATTGAAGAACTAACATACTTGCATCAAAATTATCTTTATAAAAAAGAAAAACATTAATTTATCAATTTAAAAGTCTTCTTTAAGTATTTAAATTTAATTCCTATTCTATTATAATGTTTAAAATAAAAAATACCTTACATTGAAAATTATTAATTCTGACTTAAATTGTTCTTTAACAAAAAATGTTTATGTTAATTAACTAAACATTTACCGCCTTCTATAATCGGTTGGAAGATATCGATAAATGTATTCTTGTTACAATCGAATCAAGGAGCTAGTTCGTAGGTCAAGTAGAATGAGTCGTTTGATCGAACCTATCCCAAACGAATAAGCAATCTCTTTCTTAGCTCTGCTAAGTTTTATAATTTTAAATAGGTAAACGTTAGATCAATATAAAATAATGGGTATCAAGGGTTGCGAAGTGCAATTGGATAATCCATGGAATACGTACTACGCTGGGCAAACAGTCAACGGTCAGGTGAAAATCACCTTTGATTCGCCCAAAAAAGTACGAGGTAAGACTTTTATTTAAATATATATATATATGTACATATATGGATTTCAACACAACTATAATTGAGCCCGTATTGCTCATAAAAGTGACGACATGAAGTATTGAACAGATGACAATGAAATCATTAGCTCGAATTCCATTCTAGACTTGATCTGTAGCTGCTTTTCTAGTTTCTCCTCTCGCTTGTAAAAAGCCGGTCCCGTTAGGCATTTATTATTACATATTTACATATGGGTGGACCTTAATTTCCCCAGAATTTTAAATAGAATAAAATAAGAAATGATTCATCTACATATATAAATGTCAAAATTATATCATAAAATAATAAAATGTATCTAGATTTTAATTAGTGTCAACCCATTTATACGCAATAGTATGGAATGATGCTGTTCGCGATGATGTCATCGGTTTGGTAGGCGAGAGTCGCATTCGCCACAGTAGTCTGTTATTTATAGCATATACTATACTCGCAGTCCACAGGCAAGGCGTGGCGCGACAATAAATTGTTTTCTTTACAAACACAGTGGGGAAACAGATGCAATAAACATTCTTAACCACTTGTGCTATTGCAGGCATTATCATACGTTTCTTGGGCGAAGCCAATACGGAATGGACCGAGGAGCGTAATGTGACGACGAGCGAGGGCAAGACTGAGAACGAGATCACGAGCCTGAAAGGACATGAGGAGTACTTCAAAATACAATACTATTTGCTCGGCGGCAAAAACAGTAAGGAAATGCATTAAGCGTCCAGAATTCAGTTTTAAATTTAATACTTGTGTAGGCTCCGAGACTGAGCTACCGCCGGGCACACACACGTATCCGTTTACGTGCGCCTTGCCTCCAAATCTGCCCTCATCATTCGAGGGTGAATTTGGACATGTACGCTACACTATCAAAGTGACTTTGGATAGGCCATGGAAGTTCGATCAGGATATGAAAATGGCCTTTACTGTCATAGCGCCAGTTGACCTGAATCTCAATCCGCGTGTCAAGGAGCCGTTTAAGCTGGAACTGGAGAAGTCATTCTGTTGCTTCTGCTGTCGTTCCGGCCCCTTGACTGTCGTCACAAGCATACCACAAACGGGTTACGTATCGGGCCAAATACTGCCAATAACCTGCGAGGTGGACAATACCAGCAATGTGAATCTCACCGCTGTTAAATTTGAGTTGCGCAAACTTGTCACGTTCCATACGAATCAACCGCGTAGCGAGAAACGCGAGTCCAAGGTGATCATTGCCCAACTGAGCGTTGGGCCTGTCAATGCCGGAGAGTCTCGCACGTTTTCACAGCAAATGGAAATACCAGCACTGCCGCCGACCAATTTACTCAATTGCGGCATCATCGCGTTGGACTATGATTTGCATGTCGAGTGTGATGTAAGTGGACCGCATCGTAATCTCACTGGCAAAGTGCCCATCACGTTGGGCACCATTCCGTTGGCTTCCGTAAGGCCACCAGCTGAGGATCCATCTCTGGCACCCACACAGCCGGTGAGTCCTGTCAGTCCTCCGGGCGACGGTGTGGGCGGTGCTCTTGGATGGAATGTGGCAGATAGTGCAGGCGGTGCACTCTACCCCAATATACGTAAGTACAACATTAATCGTCCTGTATAAAATATATTATAATTATTTTCCTTAATTGTTGTAGCGCCGCCCCAGTTTGTAGAAACGGAATACCGCGCACCAAAAATAACCGGACGGGATGATTCCGAGCACACACAAATCATTGGAGACAGCACATTCGCTCCGCGCTATCCAACATTTCAATTTAAGAACGCAACAGCTCCGGAACTAAGCCCCTAAGTCTTGTCAGGAATCTACTCGCTTCTAATTTGTTAATCTGTCTTCGCTATTGTATATCTCCGTTTTAAGTTTTTTTATTGTTTTATTTTGCATTTATATGTAAGCTTTCCGTCCGTAAAGAAAGCATAGAATCTTGGTAAATTGTAATCTCAATTATGTCGCTCAAATTACGTATATTTGTATTTATGTAAGCGATATTCTAAACTTGCAAATGCTCGTGATAAAGAACACTATATAATATACACATTATATTAAAGGTATACAATTATAATTTTTCTAATCAATAAAAAAGTTTTGGGAAACAATAAGTTAATTTGTGAAAGTAAATTCAAATTTTAAGATATGAATCCACCCACTACAAAGCTTAAAAAATTTCAAAAATGGCGCGAGAATTGCCTTTCAATTCGTCTTTACCAGGGATGAAACGGCATTGCTGCTTATCGATGTCACGAATATATCGACATCGTCCCACAGTTACATATATCGATATACCAAAAATTTACAGAAGCCAAAAATTGCGTCATGTAAACAAAATTTCTGTACATTTTACAGTTTGAAGAGCAAACAGCTGTGTGTGGAGTGTATAGTGTTGGTTAAAAATAATAAAGGAATAGTAAGAAGCGCCTAACTAAGGATATGACAAAATGAATACTACCGAAAATGAGATTCAAATACATGGAAACACTACTAGCATTACTGTCAACGAGCAAACCTGTCGGGTTTGTTTGGAGGCTCACGAATCAGCTTTGAGCCTTCACGATGAAATTGAGTTTAATGATCTAAATGTGGAGCTGTGGGAGTTACTAGAAAATGTATCCAATGTGAAGGTAACAACAGTGAAATACCAGCCATAAGAAGCGTAACATAATTCGAAAATGATTTGCAGTGCGATTGGAATGACCCTAACCTACCCTCACACCTATGCCAGAGCTGTACGCGTCGTCTGATCAGTGCCTACGAGTTTATTCGTGAGGTTATAAGGTCCAATCAGACACTGCTGGAATTATGTAGTGTTCAGGATACGGATCAGCAGACCAAATATCCGCAAATCAGTGAGTTTACAGAATTGGCGAACCATGAAGAAGAAGAACTACTGCAATTGGAAGAATGTGGATCCGTCATTGAGCTGCAAGAGGTGGAACTGGCCGCTGACGATCCGTCCCTAAAGGAGGATCTATGCGAAGTCACTCCATATGCAGCTCAATCATATGAAGGCTCTGAAGAACAGAAATGTGACGAACAGAAAAATGAGGCGCCATCTCATGCCGAAGTGCCATCTGAAGAGTTGTCCCATAGTGAGATTGACCTCACTGAAATGATCACAGAACTGGTGCCGGAAGTGTGTGATGCTGACGTTATTGATGGTGCAGATAATGATTCAGGAAACAAGAAACGTAGTTCGTACCTAGGAATGCGACTGGCACAGTCGCAGAATTTTATGTACAAATGCGAGAGTTGTCCTCGCATTTTTGCTAAGAACGCGTCCCTGGAACGTCACTTTGCAACGGCTCACAGCCAAGCGGCAGATGTAGCCGCCCAGGAATTGGCTAAGGAGCACAGCAGCAGCGGTGAGTTGATCTGTGAGCATTGTCCGCGCATTTTCAAGCGCCAGGATACATTGCGGCGACACATGATTGCCTTTCATCCGGACGTGGTGGCCGCCAGCGGTGGTTCAGAAGATGCCATAGTTAGCGCGACACCAAAGCGTACTGCAAAGAGGCGCGAATGTCCCCACTGTGGCGTTAGCTTTCCCGTTTCCAGTCTGACCATACATATACGGCGCCACACCGGCGAGAATCCATACAAGTGCGACCAGTGCGAGAAGGCCTTCCCTCGCAGTCAGGACCTCAGTCTGCACAAGCGTCAGCATACCGGGGAGCGACCCAGCGAGTGCAAAATATGCGCCAAGAAGTTCATCTCGCAGAACAAGCTGGCGCGGCACATGCGCCTGCACACTGGTCATCGACCGTACGCCTGCGACAAGTGTGACAAGAGCTTTGTGCAGTCCAACGACCTGAAGATCCACATGCGACGGCACACGGGTGAGCGGCCCTACGCGTGCAACGTTTGTGGCAAGAGCTTTGTTTGCGGTTCTTTGCTGAACATCCATCGGAACCAAAAGCGACACTTTGAGAGTGCAACAGAAGGCAACGGTACCTTGGAGTCTGATCCCTATGAGAATAGTCGAGTGAACAAGCGTCGGGCCGAGGACATTGAACGAATGCGACTACAGCGCGAGAGCGAGACTCAGCCATCTACTGTCCGGCCCTACACTTGTGGCGTCTGCGGAGAAAACTTCAATATTGGGGCTCTACTCACGAGACATCGCAACAAAATGGGCCACTATGAGGTCGGCAAGGTAAACTATGGCGATCCCTACGAACGAAGAATCAGGAAGCAGCAGCAACAACATCGACTGAGAGTTTTGCTATGTGAAGATTAAAATATTTGTTTATAATAAGATTTTCAAAACTCCAATTTTTAATCTGTTAATTTCTGATAATGAAGAAACATTTTATCTACCCGTACTTCTTATGAATTGCAAATAAGGTTGAAAAGAAAAATTATACATTTAATATATATTTANTATCACTTAAATATATACGTAAGTGGAAAGTTTTTTTTTTTAAATATTGTATATTATTAATGCCATTTTATATTAAATGTACATTGTACAATCCAATTATTAATCTACCAACAACTAACGTATTTTAATTTTATTTTTTATGAACTGGAAAGTATAATAACAAAAACAAAAAAGTAGAATATTATTACCTATATTTTTTTTAAATATTGTATATTATTAATGCCATTTTATATTAAATGTACATTGTACAATCCAATTATTAATCTACCAACAACTAACGTATTTTAATTTTATTTTTTATGAACTGGAAAGTATAATAACAAAAACAAAAAAGTAGAATATTATTACCTATATTATATATACATATATTATACATATAAAGTGAAATAAAACACATAAACAAATAAATGGGTGAAACAATCTTTGTTTAATGCTCATATTTCTTCTTATTTATTTAGAGGTTAGAGGCAATAAAAAGTTAGAACTAACTTACAGATCAAAACAAAACAACTGAGGCCTTTGGCTAAATGATATTATTATTGCAATTTCATTAAAAATGTACTAAAATAAATCTCTACGATCGAGCCGTGATTGTTTTCATTTCATTTTCTGCGCACCTTTGGACCCTCGCCAAAGACAACAGCTGTTATTGCTTCAGATGCGTAGCAACCTTTTTTTATGGGGGCTTGAAAGTGTCGCACCTTGAGCTAAGCTTTCGGCGTTCAATACGTGAAATACAAACATACAAACGTGCAAAGAGTGAACTCAAATACTTAATGCAGCTTAACTAAGATGACAAAAAAACAATACATAAAATATTCTCAATATAATATTGGTTAAACAATGAGTGGAATGCATATAAATGTTCAGTTAGAAAATATGCAAATATTACAGTTATGGCTTGAATGGACTTTCACATAGATACGTGCGCACATTATCAATATATTCTTCAGCGTAAGCTCATGTTTAATTTTTGTTTGCTTATGCTTAAACATACATACATACATACATATGTATGTATGTAGGTAGATACATAAGCCAGTAGTCAGTCGTAAGCCGTCCCTGTCTACGTCACTGGCTTTTACAGCTACAAGGGGTTGGTTTGCGCTGGCTTTGCTGTAGGGTTGCAATGCACTTGCACTTGCGTTAAAGAATAAAATAGAGAGAATAAAGCGAAAAGTTTTGTCGTCGTTAACTTGTGCAAGTGTCATTGGTAAAATCGGTGACGTAATACGCAAAGTATTTGCATACAAAACGAAAGAAAATACGAAAAAATACATATCGGATAACTGAAGCTGCTGCTCAGTGTGTAAATGGTTTGCATAATATGCGCACAATCTCCAGCAACTGAATGTAAGCAAAAATCAATAAGCATGTGTTTTGGCTGCCAAGATTAATGAATACCCAATTATTGCCGCAACAGAAACGCAACGAAAAACAGTCGAACAAAAATGGATGGGAACAAAGTCGATGCAGACAATTGCGAGCCGGATGTGGATGGCTCGCAGTTTATGCTCGACGACTTGCAGCTGGCGGCGGAACTGGGAAAAACGCTGCTGGAGCGTAACAGAGAATTGGAAGTAATGCTGAAGGAGCACAAAACCCGCAATGAGGAACAGCAGCGGGAAATTGTGCATCTGCGAAAGCAAATCAATGCAATGACCGAGGTCAACGATACGCGCTTAAAGGTCTACGAGCAGCTGGAGGTGGGCATACAGGACTTGGAGCGCAGCAATCATCGCTTGACCCTGGAAAAGTCACGCGATAAGAAGCAAATCAAGTCACTGGGAGCCAATATCGAATCCCTGGAAGCGCGCTGTGAAGAACTCAACCAGCAGTTGGAAGAGATGCGGCAACAACTGAACACGGAGCGGCGCAAAAACGAGAGGCAACAGCCACAGGATCGATCTACGGCACCGGCAAGCTCTGAACGTCTAAATGGTTTGCCCAAGCCATGGACTGCCAATGATCGTGAAGGAGTTGACCTGAATGCGACGCCCATAGAGAGCGGGCCATTTGCTGCAAATGCCAACTCGACGGGGGTCACCGAAATGTCGCAAACCAGTGGATCGGTGGCCTTCAGTGATATGGGTAGCTCGGAGGAGATTATTGAGGCAGCGGCTGCCGCTGCTGCTGCTGCCAGCAAGGGKGAGGACAATGAGGAACTGTTAAGTCTGATAACTGATATGGAGTCGGTAAGACGTGATTTTATGGCGGAGAAGCAGCGCTGTTGCGAGCTCGAGGAGCAATTGGTTGCCATCATCCAAGAGAACCAGACACTGCAGAGCCGCATCGCAATCACCAGCACCAACGAAGAGATGATGTCCATGCAGGATGAGTTCTCATTGTTAGATGACGTCAGGCAGGGACAAATGTGCAGCCGGTGCCTGCGAGTCATGGAGGAGCAGGCGTCAAACAACGACGGTCAGTCATCAGTGGCCCAGACCGAGGACGGACGCGAAGAGGACGACCGCAGCCTTATGGGCAGTGAGTTCAGCTTACAATTGGCTGGAAATAGTGCTGAATTCTCATCGAAGCTCAATGAAAACGAATTGCTCGAATTGAAGAATGCTGGCAGTCCAAATCCGTATCGTGACTTGGTCGAGAAATACGAAGCTCTGTTGGAGGTGCAGCGTACATCAAATGTGCGTAATGGCAACCCCCCCAACGGTGTCCCGGTCTCAAAAGAAATCTCGAATGCAGTCGAGTCCAATCTGGAGCAACCACAGAAGCTCAACGTGACGGCCACCAGGCAGGAAACAGCTGCTGCGACAGAAAACAACGCAAAGTCTGCGCGGGGCCGAACCTCAACGGAGTTCTCAGAGGCAGAGACCTCATCGTCGGGCTTCTCAGAGGAGACTAGCAACAAGTATACTCAGACGGATGAGAGGCCAGGCTACTTCTTGTGCTCAATCAGCAATGGCGAGGAGTGTAAACTAAGCATATATGACGACGTTACCCCCATCGACACACACTTCCAGAGCCGGCCCGAGTACAGGGAATTATTCAAGGAAATTTTCGGTGTGTTGAAAAAGGCCGCCGATAACAAGGACGATGGGGAGAAACCAAAATCGACGGACGATAATCGAGCCGAGTCAAACACGGTGGATGCGGCCGTTAAGGAAGAGTTCTCGGTAGACTTTGGCGATGATACGCAAAGTATTATATCATCTGTCTTTTCGGATCATTCAGTTGCCATGTCCGAGTGCGTCACCAAGCTGGAACGCAAGACGGCCAAGAAGCATATAAGTGAGTGCAAAAATCAAGAGAACAGAATGTCTCAAGGAAGCTCCACGTCCATCGCACAACTGAGCGGGCCGAACAAAACGGATGGCATCAAAACCATTGAGGAGAACGGACGGGTATTGACTCCATTGAAGCGCGAACCACTCGAGTATTTGGCTGTTGGTGTGGGCATTAAGAAGAGGAATCGTCGCAAGAATCGAAGTCTACATAACAATAGTGGCCGAGTCGAGTCGCCACTGGCACAGCCCTCGCCTCTCGCACAGCCATGTCCGACACACAGTGCGCGGCGCACCCGCAAAGACTTTGTGCCAATCCCTCCAGAAATGTTTGTAACGGAACGTGTTGGCCGCCGGAGACAACCGGATCCCTCAAGCAACGGCGAATGGAATGGCTCCCCAATGGTAATCTATAACCGGAACATGAGCGCCTCTCGCGCCAAGCGAGCGGGTCGCGTGATCGAAGTCAATGGCGTTGAGTTTCATCCAAATACGGTGTCCCAGGAGTTCCACAAGCTCAAAAGGCTCGATCTCTCATATGCGGAGGTATTGCGCCGTGCTGACGCATGCGAGCACCAAAGTCAACCGCTGCGCGTGCAGCGAATGCAACAGTCACGTTGGAACAACAAAAGTCAAAATAATCGCCGCTAATCCTAGACCTAGCATCTATATATATACCTATGTAATGATCCGTATTTGTATCAACACTTAACTATCGACATGGATTTAACTTATGCGAACTAACTCCAACCTTATCGGAGTGCCTAGTAGTAATTAAATGCATTGCCTGCGATAGCCTCCGGTATATAGCAATTCTCAAGTTTTAATATGTTATTTTTGTCCTTAACTATAAAGTGTTCAGTTTTGTAATCTCCTTACTTATGTTCTTTAAGTTGTTTTTAATGTGTAAATTGCCCTAGTTTGTTTATATATTTCGAGAAATTTAGCATTTTTGTAGCATTTTTAATAGATTGTACAATCCAGCCATATTTTCAATATACTATTCTCTTTCAACTATACAATTGTATTTACGACTATGTATCAAGTTCTTTAAGATATTCAATAAATGAGCATGTGTGCCAAGTCCAACATATTTGAAAGAACATGCAGCGACCAAGTCTATTCGAAATTTCGATCGATTCTATTTACTGGATAGTGGAATTGCAAACTGAGCAGTCTTTCGGTCAGCTCAATACTTGGAAATTAAGTTAATCTACAATCAATGAAACATTTATACTTACTACCGAAGTCAGCACATATTAGAAATCTCAAGTATAACACAATTTATTTAGTTTATGTATATTTTCTAAGCTTGATTAAAGAGTATCCTCATTAAAAACAGAAGACTAAATTAGCATTGGATTCACTTGCGTTTGCGAAGCTGATGTGAAGCGGAGGTGGAAACGGACGAATGGGAGTTGTGTGTGCTGCGGGAATTGGAGCGGGATCTAGTTCTCCTTCTATGTTTGCCATAGCTAGAGCTGCTCTGGTGACTGCGACTGCTGTGGTGTCGGTAGCTGCTACTGGCATTCTCCTCGCCCGACTGACTGGAATCTCGGCGCCTTCGCCTTTCTCGATTTTGTCTGCTGTATTGCATTGCACGTCGTTCATGTTCACGATCACGTGTACGATCACGATCCCGACTGTCGCGACTACTGTGATGATCGCGGCTGTCGCGACTGCTGCGATGATCACGGCTCTCACGACTACTACGATGGCGATCATAGTTGCGAGTGCTGCTGGTACTTGGACCTCTACGATGGCTCTTACGGTCGGGCTCGCTTTTCTGCTTGTGACCGCTGCTGCCTCTGCTCTGATGGCGACTGCTCTTGCCGTGTTTCTTGGCCGGAGCACTGCTTCGAGTGCTGCTGTCTTCACTGTTGCTGGAGGACTTTGAACTGTTTGAACTGGAATTGCTATCGCTGCTTGAGCTACTACTGCTGCTGCTGTCCCCGCTGTTACTGGACGACGAAGAGGACGTGGACTGACGTCGTCTGCTTTTCGATTTTTTTCCTGTTTTGCTTGCTTTGTCGAGTGCTTTGTCCGCAGCGCTTAGCATGGTCGTCACAGACTCAGGCATCTGCAGCAAATTGGTGGCCGGATTGGGCACCGGCTTCAGCTTCTGCGCAATAATGGTAGACTGTACAGCGGGAACTGCCACCACTTGGGTTACAAAGGTCTGCGCCTGTTTGCCGTCCTTGTTGTCGCTAAAGCGCGTTGTGCGCTCTTTGCGACTGAGCCGTTTTCCTGTTCAATTAAATATGGTTGGTATTTCAATTTTGTACAGAGAATTCGATATTTGTTACCATTAAATTGTTGCATTTTTTCATTCGTGGAAGCATTCTTGGTTTCATGTCCTGCTCTATCAACAGAAGCTTCTGTTTGTCGATGTTCGCTGTTATCCCGCTGCCTGCTGGCTTCCGCTTGCTCCAATTCGAGCTTGCGGTGTTGTTGCAGCTTCCGCTCATCCAATTGCTCCTGCAGCAATACACGCTCCTCGATGTCATCAATGACTCGCTCGAAAGCACGTTTACTTTTTCTTATACGCGCCTGTAAGGGGATTTACACCCGAATATTGTGAAACATTCAACTTGATTATAATTCATGTATTGCGTACCTTTAACTCGTCCGCACTTAGTTCATTAGTTTTGTCCGCGGATGAATCGTTCCCGCGCTCGGTTTGACCGCCTTCATTATCATCAGCATCGTCATCGCTTTCGCTTGAAGAATCGCCATAAACAGCTAATCCTATAATTCAAATCAATCAAGTGCTAATTGTGGCTACCAGGCGTACATTGAGAAAGGCGCGCTCTTTTTTTTATTTTTTATTTTGTTTTCTTTTTATTTTATTTAAATTTTTTTTTGGGACATTTTTTTTTTTTTGTAGATAAAATTGTTTAGCAAACAGATATGCAGAGAAAGATTGAGAAATACAAATTCTTGGATGCAGAAAGTGAGAATAAATGCGGTCTAGTCAAAATAAATTTAATGGAAGTCTTCAGGAATTTAGAATCAGTCAGTTTCAATTTGGGTTGGATAGATTAAACCGAATTTATATGCATGATAAGAAAGTAAGTTAGGCAGTCCCGTTCACTGTGTATGAAATGTGGAGATAATTCTATATATGGGGGTTTAGGGTTTAAAGCAGAACTCAGACTACCTATTAAACAAAAGTGTTCAAGAACTTAAGGCTAAATTGGAATTTGTTACTTACCCAGGTTGCCGGTAATGGAGGACAAGGCGCTTTTGCGAATCACTTGGGCTGATGACGCTTTTGATTTACATACACATATACATGTATATATATATATATATATACACGTATTTGTATGTATTTTTGCCATTTCTTTCATGGCCTGAACTGACATTTGTACTATTGGCATTTATGTTACAGTATCTGTTTTATCTGGTTTTGGTTTTAAACAAAAATTTTTGTTCATTTTGTCGAAATTTTTATCATTTTATATACACATATAGATATATATACATAGATTACGATTATATAGAGAAATTCAGCATGTGATTGGATTGTTTGTTACAAGTATAAACAGTGACATAGAATTAAAATTAATTACTCAAACTAAACGCGAACGCTTGAGTACACCACGATAGAGACGACATCCTTCTCTGAGGTGATGAATAATTCCATACATTTCAACTCTGGCTTCATTCAAAATATGGCTCAACTTACTGGAGCTTGTGCCTCACAGCCATCAAAAATTCAAATATATCATTTGTACTTACACACTCGCACACGCATTCTCACACACAAACACACACACACTCACTCACTCATGCACGTGTTCTCACTGTAAAAAATTCGATAATCTTAATATTCTAAATAGGATATAAAGTACCTTTAGCGCGATGCGCTTTGAGTGTTTCAGTAGCAATAGCTGCAATCTCTTCATTGGTGGTTTCCAGCAGTATTTCGGTTAGTGTGCGACGCACAACAAGCATCTATAGATTGGTTTTTTATAGATTGATTGCGCTATTTCAAATGCCTCACGATAACTAAGTGGCGCCAGACAATGAAACCCCTTGCCGAAATATATTAGGTTATAATGGAAAAGCTATCTGTTTAAATTAATATTCAGTATTCAGCAGTACAGCCAATAGAGGAATTTACGTATGAATAATAATAGACAAATATTGGAATTGAAGCATAACTAGTTGGCTCTAGCTATAAGAAATGGTTTCAAGTTAAACTATATGAAACAGTGATTCTTTTATCAAGGCTCAATTTGGATGTAATACTGTATAATGTTTTTCATAGACTGCATTCAAATTGCTTCTTTTACAAGTGACAGGAGTACGAATCGGTTTTGGGTTTCGTTGCCTGGACGAGCGCACCCGGACTTAAAATTGTGATGCCTACCAGATCGGCCAGTCTTTCTTCGTAGTTTTTACCACTTAATGCTGCCTCAGCATTGGCTGACCTTGCAACTGTTGCTTCAACGTGCCCACTGTCCACGTCATGCTGTGGCTGACTTTCCTGCTGCTCGTCGTCCTCCTGCTCGTCATCACTGTTGCTGGCTTTACTCAATACTTCATTACCTATTAGCTGAGCCAGGCTGGGCGCCAGTGTGGCCTCCACCGGGGCAGCATTTGAATCTTCACTGTCGCTTGCCTGAATTTCGAATTCAAGTTAATGGCAAAGCGTTTGATTTAGTACGCTAACACTTTGGTCTGGTGTGCCGTGCTCAAGTGCAACCAGTTTAAATTCTTGTTGCAACGGGCACAACTTAAAAACGAGTCAAGTGCAGCCCACAGACACACTTCGCTACTTACCACATTCGACATGTTCAAGAGATTAACAGGTGTTGTTAGTGATTTGCTTGATACTTGCTTAACATTGATCTCTGGCGTCTCGCATTCCGTTGTGGTAGCTTGTCGTTCTAACTGTTTTTGCTTTTCACGTTCCATTTTCTCCAAACCCTCTCTGAAATATACAAAACACTTATTAATTAAGCTATAAGAAATATAATAATACTTTAGCTGACAATTATTTACAATTGAATCTTCGATCGACTATTCTAAAGCAAACTAAGAAATAATTGCATAAAAAATTAGGATCTGAATCACTATAACTTGACAATAAATTCGATTTCCACTTTGCTGTACTTTAGTAGCAATTACATTAATAATCTAATGTACTCTTTATGATGGTCTTACCTAATCCAAGCTGGTAACATTTTGCGTTTGTTTGCATCAATGTCGGTGCTGACGACACCGCTGCAGCTGGCGCTGCCAGTGACGGTAGAGCTGCTGCTTTTCGGCAGAGGAAGTTGTGCTTGCTGATGCACCGCTGGCTCATTCGGATTACAGACGTTGAGTTTTAAAAGCGATGGAATATGGGCTGTTGGATTGTTGCGTGCTGACCAATCATTCCACTGCTGAGGGTCTGGGCCAACTAAAGTTCGTATTACAGGAATATTAAAATTGATATGTAATTGGGGCAAGTCTAGGTAAGTTGTGGCAATTACTCACCCGTATCGTGTGATGCAATATTGGGTACATCGTTTACTCTGCCTGCCAACCACTGAGATTGCGTAACCACAGGCGGAGGGGGTAGATTTTCGATGCAATGCGCCATGCGTGCACTATTTTCATTTTCTTCCTCATCCATATCCATGTCCATCTCTGCCTCGCCGTGCTCCTCGTAGTGTTTTTGAACTTTAGGCGGCTGTTGCTGCTGCTGCTGCTGGCGCAGCTGTTGCTGTTGATGATGGTGATACTCTGGCGCATTGCTTATAATCGGTGGCGGAGGTGCAATCGGCATATTCATGCTAAAATTAGCCATAGGTTGCGCTGCTGACGAGTCACGCATGTGTATCCACTGCTGAGCCAGTTGCGCCCAGTCTATGCCGCCTTGCACATTCATTGGCATGACGGGCGTTGCAGCCGCCAATGGATTGGCGAGTCCAGCACCGGGAATTGGAACAGACCCGGGACCTGGTGCAACCAGAAAATGTGGTGGTTGCGCCATATATTGATTATGTTTGTTGAAGCCCAGATCGGCATTTGTGTTGCCACCCGGGAACATCTTGTTTGGTATTATGTTGAATACTATATTATAATTTGCACTTGAGTTGGCCACAATTTTCTAAAACGATTTTTCGACTTCTACGCCATTTTCTTACTCTATACATATAGACATTCACATATGACAAGTAACACTTTGGCTATCAACATTATGATTGTAGTTGTTAACAATATTTACAAAGTACCTCCGTATCTCTCGATTTGTATGATTTTTTTAACATAATAAAATTCTTCCCAGCCATTTGAACATTCATTTATTCTAAAAAATTGCTACTCGAACTAAAATTTATCTTTCGATTTTTCCCATACAATAGTTACACTGACCAAACAACACATAGACTAGACATGTAGAGCAACGTTTTTCCACGCCGCAAAATCTGTGTAGCAGGTCCCGGCCAATTTCGTATTCGCTCGGCTTGGTATTGGCTGGCTCGGGTAATGAAAGATAGCACGACGAAATCAGTGCGCTCTAAGCACGCAAACGAAATGGTCATGCATNATGCATGACCATTTCGTTTGCGTGCTTAGAGCGCACTGATTTCGTCGTGCTATCTTTCATTCCCCGAGCCAGCCAATACCAAGCCGAGCGAATACGAAATTGGCCGGGACCTGCTACACAGATTTTGCGGCGTGGAAAAACGTTGCTCTACATGTCTAGTCTATGTGTTGTTTGGTCAGTGATAGTTATCAAAGAATTGTTATCGACATTCACCAGGAAACGCATGCACGCGCTTCCAAATTCAAACGAACGGCATTTTATTTTCACACAGAGATCACTGTGATCAGACCTGGAATTTGCACCAATTAAATTGAATAAGATTTTTTATGACTGATTAAAAACAACTAATTTTAGCTTAACAAATATGTCCCAAAAACCAAATAATGTGTTGCGTGCAAAGGAAAATGCATTACCCAAGACAGGACCTGCTGCTGCTCCTGGCCATTCTGCAATGGCAATGCAGAAAAAGCAATTGCTAACAAAAAAGGTGAGCATTGTATTGTTAGGAAATCGGATTTCGCATTGCTTTTGCAGTTTAATATGTGTTTAAATTTGTACTTAGCCAACGACTGAAAATGTGGCGCCTAGTGGCAGCAAAACTAACGCACAATTCGCAAAACCCCTAACGAAGCCCGCGATTGGCTCACAGCAAAAACAACAAAATACGGCAGCGGCTTCTGTAGCGGAAGCTAAAAAATATGTAAATCCTGTTTTGTCTAACAATGAAAAGCAAGCTCCGTCATCAGCCACTGCGAGTAGCAGCAGCAGTAGCAGCAGCAGCAACACCAACACCAACACTGAAAAGGATAAGACTGGTAAGTCGCTCTAAAAAATATTTAGAGTATGAAAATAATTTGCTCTTCAATGCTCAGAATCAGCGACAGCCAAACCCAAAAAAACTTGGGCGCTAAGTAACTTTGACATTGGTCGCCAGCTGGGACGTGGGAAATTTGGCAATGTGTATTTGGCTCGCGAAAAGGAATCCCAATTTGTCGTTGCACTGAAAGTACTTTTCAAGCGTCAAATTGGTGAGACCAAGGTCGAGCATCAGGTGCGACGCGAAATCGAAATTCAGTCGCACCTGAGGCATCCACATATCTTGCGTCTGTATGCCTATTTTCATGACGAGGCACGCATCTATTTGGTTTTGGAGTATGCGCCCCAAGGAACGCTGTTCAGCGCACTGCAGGCGCAGCCAATGAAACGCTTCGATGATCGCCAGTCGGCCACTTATATCAAGGCCCTCTGCTCAGCGCTGTTGTACTTGCATGAGCGCGATATCATTCATCGGGATATTAAGCCGGAGAATCTGCTTCTGGGCCACAAAGGAGTGCTGAAGATAGCCGATTTCGGTTGGTCCGTGCATGAGCCGAATTCGATGCGTCTTACCCTTTGCGGCACGGTTGATTATTTGCCACCCGAAATGGTGCTAAACAAGCCGCATACCAAGAATGTAGATCTTTGGAGTTTAGGTGTGCTTTGCTTTGAACTGCTTGTGGGTCATGCGCCATTCTTTTCAAAGACCTATGAAGAGACCTATCAAAAGATACTTAAAGTGGATTACAAAACACCGGAGCACGTCTCGAAAGCAGCGGCTCATTTAATCTCCAAGCTCTTAGTGCTAAATCCGATGCATCGAATGCCACTGGATCAGATTATGTTACATCCATGGATTGTGGCGCATACTCAGTGAATCGCTCGACTGGTTGAATCTTAAATTCATTTTAACATTATTATTTTATTGTTTCAGTTTCTTCAGTTCATCTGACTTTGTTTAAAATTTGCCAGAGCGCCAGTTATTTAATTATCGCATTAATAAATTTTAATTAATGTAAAGAAAACATGATTAACATTTATGCAATTTATATTCACTTTGCTTTAAATAAAATTTCTGTGTTTCATTTAATTTATAGACACATTTTGTTCGTTCTACTTTTACATATGGGCTTATTAAATTATTATTTGATGGACTTAACATATCCTAGTACATATATAAATCAGTATAGACGCAATTTGTTTAAAGCAACCAAAAAATGCAGCTTAGCAAGTTTTTATCACAGAAAACAAAGTATATACTTACAACTTCAAGAGAACTATTGAGTTAAAAGTGGGGAAAACAAGCGCAGCTAATTCAATATAAAACGCCTCAAAATCCATTGTAGAGCATTGAATATTTTAATTATATTCGTTAAGCTCAACACCTTTAAAGAATCAACTGCAAACTTTAATTAAACAAAGTATCTGTTTGCTTATATACAATATAATTGGCTTAGCTATTAGGGTTTCAATCTATTTGTCACATCATATGGGATTTTAAAAAATTCTGTGTTTAATATAAAAGGTTTAAAATAGTGTATTAAGCCAATTGTATTGTAGATTCTAATATTAAAATGGTTAAACTAAAACTTTTGAATTAAATTGTTTTAAAATTATTAACTCAAACAAGCTCTGTAATATATACCAGCGATTGTGAACTCGTAGTTTTTCAGCAAATTGTATGAATATAAAAGGGACTGAATCTTAACTAAAGTGGCTGGTGTTTGTCTTCTTCTCTTTATCAAAAAGAACTAACCAAGACTGCCAGAGAGATGCTATAATTAAATACTATCGTAAGCCATTTTTAAATCTATAGTGAATCATCTAATTTCTAACGGGCGAATCTGCGCCCGGCTTGCGTGCCGGCACGTTGTAGTCATCCTCTGAAAAGTAAATATTGAATTATGCATTTAAGAAGTGATTACAGTCATACTTACCGTCTTGATCCTCATCCATGCCATCGTCCAGATGAACAGCATCACCAAATTCCTTGCCCTGATCACCGGCGATTTCATTGTTTAAATTGTCATTCTCCAGCAAATGCTGCGGCTGCTTCACAGCTACATCTCCAAGAATGACGTCGTCATCGTCATCGCCGCCACCACCGCCAACCGCGGCTGCATCTGCAGCGAGCATTTTGTTATCCGCTTCAGCTCCATGTGCACCAGCGATGTCACCATCAAATAAATTGTGCTCGGCGCCAGGTAAATTGAAGTTCTGCTCGTTTAGCGCATCTTTCACTTCATGCGCTCCAGAATCAAGTGCTCCTTGATTTTTGTTAGTCTCCATATCGTTCACGACATTGGAATACCGATTATTATTTTCGTTTTTGGGCAGCTCTTCGGCAGCCGTATCTACGTCTGCAGCTCCATCGGCTTTGCCATCGAAGTTATCTGGAATGGGTGCAACATTCTCCGGCAGCTTACGTTCAACCTTGACTTCAGCGGATGGTTTCGCTGGTGGCATGACCAATGGCGGCTGACCACTACTGCTGCTTCCTAATGCCTTGGGCGCAACAGAAGCGTTTGGTGATACTTCGGAATTTGGAGTACTAGAGTTAGATTTCCGCGGTGCACTCAGTGGCGAAACAGCTGAACCAGCTGCAGCTAACTCGGGCTGTTCTTGCTGCTGTTTGTTTGTTTCATCAGCTAACGTTTTAAGCGCTTTGGGGACCATCTGAAAATTTTCAACAGAGTTTAGTATGAGGCTATGATTGTTGCGCACATCGAAACGCTGCAATGGTTGCTGTTGTTGCAGTTGCCGTTGCAGTTCCAGCCGCTGCTCCGTACCGACACCATGGGGTTTAGTTGTTGTGTTAGTTGCCTGGCTGGGCTTGGCGATACCGATTCTGTACAGCCCTTGACTCACTTGTACTTGCTCGTTGAAGGACTTGTTGTTGCGCGGCTTCTCAATGCTGTGCGCCGGTTGGGCTGGACTTGACTGACGACCGGACGTTGTGTCGGCAGTCAGGGAGTCAATTGGCTTAACAAGCTGTTGTTTTGGTTGTGTCTGTGCCTGCGCCGGAGCCCCCGATTTACACTGAGCATTCAGTTTTTCAAGCGCTTGCTCTAGTGTATGCGTTTTGTGCTCAGATTCTTTCAACAATGTTTCGTACTTTTCCTTTAAGTAATAAATAAGCAAAATGAAAAATGATAACTAAATGATAATCAATTATTAACACACTTTCCAGATGGTTGCCTCCTGCTGTTTGTTGTTCTGTTGAAGCTTTTGCAGCTGTTCGAGCAACGTAGTTGTGTCTTCAATGTGCTTCTTTTTGATTTTTTCACTTTCAGTTAGCAATTCGTTATGCTTGGCCTCGAGTACTTTGTACCTATTGACTTGCACATCGTACTTCTGCTGAAGCGTTCTCTCCACATCCTGTTGCTTTTCATAGTCATCCTGTATGCTTTGCTTTTCAGCACGTAATAACTCCACATTTTTCTCTGCTGCTTGTTTGTTTTCCGTGAGTGCTGTATCACATAGATAAAGTATTTGATGTAGATAGTTCCATAAAGATGTTTTCATTTGTTGGTTTGCTACTTACATTGCAGCCTTAAGCTCAATTCCTCCTGTTTTTGTTCGCAGTGCAGGCGAAAAACTCTGGTCTCGTCAAGTTGCTGTTGGGACATGTGGTAAATGACAATCATCATAATGACGACAACAAACATGCTCATCAGAATACAGATCCTAACGCGCCCCGAACGGGCAAAACGTGCCGTACTCATTGTCCAAATGGAATAGCTTAGAATTCTACAAACTTATCAATAATATTATTGTGTCTCAGTTGACGAAACAATAAAACTAATCGAAAGAATTCAGAAGTGTTGTACAATGTTTTTACAATCTATTCGCGCAAGCGTTGCCAGACTCTGGCGTTATCGATTTATCGAATTTTTCGAGCTTTCTGCACAGCAGATTGCGCGTATGCTGGTTACAAGAAAAACTTAAATATACAGTACACGCCGGTAGCTCATAGGAAGAGTTCCTTTCTTGTTGCGGTAAAAGTTTTTCGTTGAGTACCGCACTAAGAAGACGACGCGCCGAAAATCATATGAAACCAAAATACACATCTATTTCTTTTCATTTCATTTGTTCACTGTCGTACATGCAGAATATAGTAAAAGTTAAATATTAAACGCAATTATTAGGTGTAAAGTGATCCAGTCAATTAAAACACAGCTTAGTGAAACAACAATAAATATGTGAGTTGCTGCTGCCAGTGTCATCAATTTCAACTGTGTCGACGTTGTGCACGCCAATTTATTTAAATATATTAATACTAACATATGCACACATACTACACACATAGAGAGATATGTATTTATATAGAACGCAAATATGCGTCAATCAATTAAATTTCTCAGGAGGTGCTACTGCACACACACACACACAAGAAACAGCATAAATTACGTAAATTTAGTGTAAAAGTACCATAAATGTAAAATTTGGGTACATATAATAGGTATGGCCTGTCTATGTACCTGCTCAACCTGCAATACCTGTTTTAATTAAACAAAGTGCAGAGCGGGGGAAATGCTTTGTTTTGGTCTGCTAATTTAACAAATGTCACACTTAAGTCGTTTCAATCCACTCAACTTTTCAGACAGTAACAGTAATCGATACTGAGGTATATAACAGTAAACAGTAATCGATGATGGCGAATGAGTTGATAGCAACAATTAAAACATATATACATATGTATGTATRTGTAGTCATATATAAACACAAATGCTCAAATACACACGTATACAGTTATTTGCTGATAAACAACTATTGGATGATATTTGTGCTTTAATCTAAATCGTTTTATAATGTTATAGCAATTACCTTTTTCTTTTTTTTGGCGACATTGTCCCCCGCAACATTTTGGCCTTCTACATAGTTTTTAGGCATACGAAATATAACTGTCGGTAAAGATAAAACTTAAAGGCCCATGCTTATCGCTTATCTAGGGTCATGCTGTTATTAAATATAAGCTAACTGATCGTTTAGAAGTTGGACAATTTAGCAATAGAAGTGCTTTTACTGATTTAATTATCACAGTAACGCATTGATGCGAAAAATCACACATAACATTCATACACTTACGCGGAGTAAGTAAATATATATTGAATATTGTGAAAATTCAATGTGTAAATGCTCTAATTTGATATGGCTGCTAATCCATGAAGAGCCAGAACGCGCTGTTGTTGCATATCAATAAACCTTGGACCGCTCCTCCCTCCATTCAGTGCGATACACCAGAACCTAATATTTTTGTCTCCTGAATAAAAAAGATAAGCTTAAGGCCGTAATATCAATTATTTAATAAAAAAAAAGAGAAATTTAAAATTATTCGCTTATCGTTTATAAATAAATTCTATATACAATTTTAGTAACACCTGTTAGTATATAAAATGTATATGAATATGTGAGTATATAAAACAATATGTATGTATGTATGTATGTATGTATATGTGTATTGCATATTTATATGTATATATTTTGATATTGCCGGCAAAGCAGTTAGAAGTCATTCAACCTGTTTGATATTATTTGTTGACTCAAATTGAAATACAACCAGCTTGTCTCGAGCTTATAAATTCTTACGGGTCCCTCACAAAAATGTTCTTTAATTCTAGAAAATGGCAGCAACACAACAGCAAAGCGAAGATATCCTCCATAACCAACCGCTGATACAGCCGAAGCAGCAGCAATTTGCGTAAGTTATTTACAACTGATATCAAAAGTTATAACTTATAAGAAATGAGCAAACATATATGAGTATTTATATGTATCATATACATATATTTGTATATACGGTTTTTTTTTTAACACATGCATATCAAATTTATATATTGTTATTAATTTGCAAATTGTTGTCGGCACTTAAACTTTAATAAACAAGATTATGCATTATAATTTTTCTGTATTTTATTACAAATTGTGACACATACGCAGACAAAATTAATTTGAATGACATAATAAAATGCATATTACAATGATAATAAGGTTTATTCATCCATTGGTCTTGTTTTGCATTTTTTGTGTTTTGTATATTTTGTGGGGCTAAACTAAAAATAGCGGCAAACAGCGAAAAGCTTAGAATTTTTTGTGTGCTGGGCTGGCATGTTACCAATTATTTTTCATATTCGCTTAAAACAAAACAAAATCTAAATGTTGGCGTACACCTTTACCTTTTGTTATTTGTTTATTTCTGCGATTTAAAATTGTATATCGACTATCGATTACACTTTATATCGTTGTGTTGTGTGCAGTGATCATTAACATCTGCAGCAGCACTTCTATGTCAATGTCAAGGYTGCCTCTCAGGGAACTGTTGTTGTTGTTGTTACTGCTGCACATGCAAATTGAATGCAAAGGTTAACGCAGTGCAAATATTTGTCAATTAGCCAACACAAATCGACAGATACAATTTGATATTTTTAATTCTATCTATGTGCACATCTATTTCACAGATTGCTGCCGAAGATCATTAACGGAGGCATTGCGGGCATTATTGGTGTGACATGTGTTTTCCCATTGGACTTGGTGAAGACTCGGTTGCAGAACCAGCAAATCGGTCCAAATGGCGAACGGATGTATTCAAGCATGTAAGTATAAATGTTTCTTAATCATTTCAAATGTAATTTTTAACGGTCTCTCTTAGGTTCGACTGCTTCCGTAAGACATACGCTGCAGAGGGCTATTTCGGCATGTATCGAGGCTCGGGCGTGAATATTTTGCTTATCACACCTGAAAAGGCTATTAAACTGACGGCGAATGATTACTTCCGACATAAACTTACCACTAAGGATGGTAAACTGCCTATGAGCTGTCAAATGTTGGCTGGAGGCTTGGCAGGCGCATTCCAAATCATTGTCACCACGCCCATGGAGCTGTTGAAAATCCAAATGCAGGATGCGGGCCGTGTAGCTGCCGCTGCAAAATTAGCGGGCAAAACCGTTGAAAAGGTTTCAGCCACACAATTGGCCACGCAGCTTTTTAAAGAAAAGGGCATTTTTGGTCTATACAAGGGCATTGGTGCCACGGGCTTACGTGACGTCACTTTTTCCGTAATTTACTTCCCACTCTTTGCCACTCTTAACGAACTGGGTCCACGGCGAAATGATGGATCTGGCGAAGCGGTATTTTGGTAAGTAGTATCGTTCAAGCCTTTTCCCATGTTTCTGAACTATTTTCAATTGTATTCCAATAGGTGTTCCTTCTTGGCTGGTTTGGCGGCAGGCTCAACGGCAGCCCTGGCAGTCAATCCCTTTGACGTGGTGAAAACTCGATTGCAGGCCATCAAAAAGGCCGATGGTGAGAAGGAGTTTAAGGGAATCACCGATTGCATCACGTTAGTAAAATCTATTTATATATATGAATTCATTTTAAATTTTAACTTCTATTTTGAATCCATCAGCAAAACTCTTAAGCACGAAGGACCTACAGCATTCTTCAAGGGCGGCCTTTGCCGCATGATTGTGATTGCTCCATTGTTCGGTATTGCCCAAACCGTTTACTATTTGGGCGTAGCCGAGGGCTTGCTAGGCATGCAGAAGAAGTAATTGACAAAGTCTATCCAGAAGCATTTTTGCTTTTGCTTTAAATGTTATGTGTGAATGTATACGTAAACGCTGTTGTTGTTACTGTTAAAGCTGTCTAGTTTCGATGTAAAAAGTGAAAGCGCTCCATAGAAATATGCAATTATGTTATCCCTTCCATATATATACTTTTATATACGAATATATATAATATATATGTGTATTTATATATATGGGTATTTAAATTTATATATACAGGTGATAATACAAACTATTACAGGCAAAAGAACTTCTATCCCAATGACAATAAGATAATGATTATCAATGCTATTATATTATATCAATGCTATTATTATGATTATGATTATGATTATTAATGCTATTATCATGTAAATATTTATTTTAGCCACACATATCTATAAATTCGCATATAGAATTTCAATTTATACAAATTATAATTAGTTGAGTACAATTTGCACGTTCTTTTGCCTATATATGATAGACATTTTTAGTAAATTTGCATTTTTTGTTTGCTTTTAGGGAGCGAATTAACTGTTAGAAACAGTAAGACTATGACCATAGCTACTAAAGCAAGATATCTTCTACAAACAACTGTCATAACTTTACGACATATATAAATTTTTAGTTAATACATTTATAAATTAAATTTAAAGCCTATTTGTTTCGATTACACAAAAATATAAATTAATGTGATTTATTGACAACCTAAAAAGAATTATACATCTTATGCACACGTTTTTGGTTATATGTACTACATATATAGACTGTCTAGATTGAAATTAATCAATTGATTCTGCCAAAAGATCACTGTCGAGCTCAAAGGCGCGAGTATGTACGTTTTTTTTTGTCACACTCCTCTCCATTGAGTTTCACTTCCTTGATTATTTTCATGATCTAGCTATTCAGGACGACAGAAGAAGCAGTTTCAATGGAAAGTTAGGCTTTATGGCGGCGCCACTAAATGCGAATATCGAAAAGAAATTAGATGCCATCCACATAATTACTCCATTTGTTTGTTAAATATTTTATTTTTATCTAATGCGGGCATAATTTTTATTGTAATTGTTGGTTTTACTATACTTTCATATTCATAAGTAACATCGAAACAATTTATAAAATGTATATGCTGTAGTAATAAATATATTATATATTATTTGACAGCTTTTAGCACGACTTTTATTTATGGGTGACCTGGGTATTACAGTAATCTACATAAAGAATTTTTTTCGAGGTGCCGGTAATTGCACTGAATTTTAAATCCCTATCGGCGAAAGTAACGAAAGACTCTTTAATCCGTGAACGAATGTTTCGGACTTGAAGATACACGGGACTCTGTTTCAATCTGTCGAGAATTCGAAAATCGATTCAATTTGTGGCCTCTGTTCCTACCAGAACATACTGAAACATACATTACATATATTATGTTTCTGGAATTGGTATAAAATAGGGCTTACTTTTGTGTTTGTCTTATACTAACAAATGAAAGTATATGTATACCTAGACCTTAGACAATCTCTAGCTGTGAGATTGAAGGGTCAATTTTTTATTATTATTCGGACTAGACTAGATAGTTCGGACTAGTATATGAACTAGCTTTATGAAAGGACACTGCAGAGACTGTTAACATACAGACGTCTTTATTACGCATTCCTTGACAGTTTAAATAATAGGTGTACTGAACCTTCATTCTAACCTTGATTACAGGCTCGTCATTCGTAGATTTTTATATTTACAAAACTGATGGTACATATACTGTGTTGAAACAATTCTTTATGTTCTTCATATATATTACATTTAATTTACGAAATATTTTTAAAAATCAATTGCAAGTGATCTTGTCTTTTGGGATGCTTTAAATTAATAAATTGTATATTTTAATAAATTCCAATTTACTTCATACCATCGCTTTTGAAAGATAGAAGGAAGTGAGTAAATTGGAGAGTATATATATATTCATACTATTACAATTGATAAGTAAATTTTTAGTGATCCATCCCACAACTGGATAGCTCTATCAGCCCGCTTCTCTTATCACAATCAATTCAAACTTATTCACCCATCACATTTTAAATAACATCGGCAGGTTGGGTGCTTGGGGTAGGGCCAGCTTCTGCGTTCAAGTCCAAATAACGACTGCGCCGCCAGCGTGCCAAAAGAGCACGATACCACTCAAGAAAGATCGCCTGCCGGTACATAATTATACCCATTTGTAGTATGATAAGACCCATGAGTGTGATGAGATTCAGAATTTCCCACTCGGCAAAGATAACAAACGCCCAGATAAGGTAGACTCGAATTCCATCGGCGAGCAGACGATTGGCACTGGATGAAAATTTCGCAATCGACATTCCAACACAGTTGTAAATGGCGCTGGAGCAGGTGAAACAGATAAGAGCAAGGATTAAGAGCGTGTTGCCACGTAGCTGTGGAATCAGATCACTGAGGTCATCAAAGACGCCACGGGAGCTCTCATTAAATGGCGCAACGCTTGGTACAAAGTTCAGGCAGATCGCAGATATGATCGTGATGATAATTCCAAAGAAGCCTTGCCAACCAGCAGCCTGGATGGGCACTATATCGGAGGCCTTCAAGTGTTTTTCCTCATACACATATTGAAAGCCGTGCAACACTTCAGCAATTATAATCAATAAATCGCCTGTTAAAATGGCATTGTGATCTGTATGCGGGACCGTTTGGTTATCATATTCAACCCGTTGAACATCCAAGGCCAGTATATCAACGATGCCGCACGTCATGGTGAAGATGGCCAACCAATGGCGAGTAGTCAATGTTTGGTTCAAGTACATCGTACTAAACAGGCCCACAAATATCAGGGCAGCACCTGCAATATATAGATGTTGAGATGCAGCCCGGCTGACTGTTGATAAACGTACCTCTTATCATTTGAAAGCTGGTGGCATACGTCAGGTACAATCCCGTAAACAGCAAAATGGAAGCGATTGTACGCAAAAAAGAGGGCAGCAACATGCTCAACGGATGGAATTCATTGCTTCCGCTGGTCAAAATAAGATCCGATTCTCTGCCAAGCTATTGAGCACATGTAAAAATATATTTTATCAACTGGCAAATGCAACACGGCACAACTACTTACAGAGCGTCTAGCCAGCAGCAGGTGAACGATCTTGTACACTACAAAGCACAGATACTCGCCCAGAAACATGAGCAGGGTCAGCACAACAGGATGTTGGAAATGATGCGGTTTTCCATCGCTGCCCTCGAATGATTGAATATTCGTCCATCTGCAAATTATTTTCTCAATGTGGAAGACCCGCATTTTACACTGTCAGTTTACTCACTTGGCGAATAAAACGTTGACCGTGCCGCTCAGGACGAATAGCAGTGTTAGAAACACTCGGCAATCCATTTTAAAACATTAAAGTCGTTGACTAATTAAATTAAAAATTATGGTAGTTCAGTTAAGCAGTTCTTTGTGTAATTCTAAATGCGCAATGATGCCGAAATCAAACAGATGACGTGCAATTGATTAAAGTTTTCGCTTTTGTAAAACTGTAAGCAATCAAATTACACAAAATAATCACACTTGATGTTTTTCGTATCGAAAACAAAAACTTAATGTGATATCTACCTGTCGTACAGAAATATTTTTCTCCAGATAAAAACTGCGAATTTAATTGTGATTTTTTACTCACCAAAGCCTGCCAGACAACGGAAAGCTTTATAGCGCTGCCAGATCTTTAGAAATAAATATCAGATGTGCATTTTATTCCATAGCAACTCTGTTACTGACAGCTTTATTATTCGCGCCCAATGAAAACTCAAAAATAAATTTGGTGAATACTTTTTTTTATTAAACCCAAACTTAAAAAATATCACAGGATAAAGATATAAAACAGATTATTGAAATGATTTATGAAATCCGTTTTAGGCAGCCGATGTAGAGTTCTGTGTATTATTCCTATAAGAATAAAAGAAGATTAGTTGATTTATCAAAATGTGTCAAAATCGCCAAAGTGTTGAACAAAATAAGTATGTAAATACAATATTTTAGCAAAAAGCATGTGTTGGTGTCTCACCTGTAGTTTGAATTTGTATGTGTAATGATTGCGTGTGTTGTTTGAGGAAGAAATGCTTACTGTCTTTATTTAAAGCTCATCTCTTTGCTGAGCCAGTGGCAAAATCACTTCCTCTACCGTGCCCAGGTTTATGGTTTTGTTTGGTTTAGAGAACTTTGGTATATACTCTACTGTATCACTGTTGCTGACCACCGAGTTGTGTAGATTTTCCGTTGGGGCCGCGGGATCGGGACTTGTCAGTGTAATTTTGGATTTTGTCGCAACTCTGTGGAATGTATGTACGTATCTCGTGTGGTTATGTGATGTGTGAGGTGTGTGTCCAGTGCTTGTTAGTAGGGCTCTACTTAAAATGTTAGTTCTTAAAACATGTGCAAAGTCAAAGAGTTTAAGTTTGAACTTGTACCTTTAGTACAGCTATTCAAAGTGAATATAGTTGAAGAACTTAATAGGTAGTCATAGGGTGAAGTTCTATTGACGCTGGCGTGCTCCACCGCGTGCTCCGCGCAATTTTTGTGGATTTCTAAGTTTAGATCGTACATATTCATGTATATATATGTATATATTTTACATGTATTCGTAGATATTCAAATATTTGCTATTAAGAAGCACCCTTCTTTAAAACAACGTACCTATCTCTAGTTTGCATGGTGGCTTCGACGTCCAAGCTACGCGGCTGACGGAAATCGCATTCCAACGAGAAAGCCGAGTCACCGGGCGTTATGAGTTCTGGATCGTTCTGTATGACCACAATGTTCGAATACAGCTCACCATCCTTCAGTGTCTGGCATTGGTCCAATTGGAAGCTCATTTCCAATTGACGTGTTCCCTGACTAGCTGAGGGTTTCATGAAGCACGGAGCCGTTTGCTTATAGAAGCTACCACGTGTATACATGACACCCGTAAATGGTTTTTCAGTCTCTAACATCACATTCATTGAATTGGCACCGCATTTCAGATTAACCTTTTGTATACCCTGATCGCTGCCCTCAATTTTAAAAGTATCCGTTAGGTCTTGTTCCCAGATTTCTGAAACGGTTCGAAAAATATGTGAGAAAAATTATTGTTGATTGATGAAGTCTTAAAAAAATTGAGAAATAAGCAAAATTGAGATTATGATTTATGTGTCGAGATAATTATCTTTATATATGTAGCTGGTAGAACAGATTATATTTCTGATATGACTGTCATTTATAATAAGGAAAAATAATACTAACAATATTTTTATTCGTATATAGGGCTAACTGTTTTTGAGAAAGTGTTCTCTCTTTGAAACTTCTCATTTTCCAGTATTTTCTTTTCAGAAATCGACATTTTAACGGTAAGTTGTTTATGTGTACCCTATGAAACATATCACACAAGTTCAAGAAACTTTAGGCACATCACTGTTTGCTCTTACTGGCTATCTACGCCGGCTCCAAGCGGCGTTATATACGCAAAAACCGGTTTCTTTTGTTTTGGTATGCCTAGAACTGCCCTAAGTTGGCATTGAAAATTTCTCCACACCTTTCGTGAATCGGTGATCGTTGGGCCTTTGTCTGGCGTTGCCTACCTTGGTTTTGTTGTTGCTGCTTCTTATTTGTGTTACCCGATGCGTTGATGGCTACTAGCAAATTGCAGCCCAGCAGAATCAAAAGCATATTTTGTTGCCCGAACATATTGCACTGGATTACGATGACTTTTGTTATTTAATACACTGCGGACAACTGTCTCTAATCACGGAGCACGTCCCAACGTCTCAAAGCAGTAGACGAAACTGACGCTTCGAGTGCGACGGCGCAGCGCATATAAACGTAGTCGCCCGAAAGCTCGGCTCGGGCAACAGGTGGCGCGTTAGAGTGAGACAGCGAGCGAGAGAGATGGTGAGTGAGAAGGAGCGCTTGCGCAACTGAGAATCTGGTCAATCAGCTGGAGAGTTAGCTGGAGCAGTTGCATTGATAACATTATATTTATTGGCAGCGATTGTACACACAAACACACACACACATCCACAGATACACACAAATACATACATGCAGGTAGTGAGTGCAAGTAAAAGAAAATATATTTTCGGCTTTGGCTGCAAATCGTTGCAAGGCAAAAACGCAAAGCGCAGCTTAAGGAAAACAAAATGCGGCTTCATCCACAGCATTTCCGCTTTTCGTGCGGATTTTTGTTGTGCATTTATATCGTATTGCATTTTCTTGTTGTTGCGGCTGTTGTTGTTGTTTTTGTTGCTATGAGTATTCATTATTCAAAATGTTATTAAACTTCCCCGTTTTGTACACCGCAGCGCGCTTCGACGGTTCTCCACAGAGCCATAAAATCGTGCGGCTTGTTTTTCTCTTTAATATACATACATATGTATGTATATGGATGTATGTATGTAGGTATATTGAAAAATTGCGTTAATTAAGGCTTAATTAGTGCATTTTCAGGCTTTCAGGCGGGCGACCATGGCAGCGAAAGGTGGAAGTTGCATATATCTTTTCTTTTGGATAACAAACAAAAATGCATTTTGAAAGCTAAATCATTTTGTGAGTTAAATAATTGATTTCTTTTAAATTGATCATAGACAGATTGACATGATAATTGGCCAGTCTAGATATCAGGCAGTGATTATAAGAGCTTTCTATTTTTACCATATCAACCAAATAATCTTATCTTTCAATATTACAAAGATTAAAGTAATTTAATATTGGTCAAGTTGGTAAAACTATTAAATATTTAATGAAAGAGTCTGTGAGTTCGCTAAAAAGGCTTTGTGACTGAAGAAACTTGGTCTAGATGCAGCTTAACTGAAAGGTACAATAGGATGTTTTTAAATCTTGTAAAGTATTTTGGCCTATCAAAAATACAAAAATAAAAATAAGTTACTAACAAATATCAGATCATATTAAAAACAAATTTTAAAATTAAATTATATAAAATCATTTTAAAAGAATAAACGAGTATTTATCAGCGCAGCAATATAGTATATATTTATATTAAAAAGCCTTCTAAAACCAAATAAGTATTATTAAATTGGAAATTTAAATAAAATTAAATCATGAAAAATATTTAGAAAAATCAGTTTATTTATTCATTTATTGATATATTAAAATGTAATCTATTTCTTTTTCAGTGTAGCCCAGTAGCGCTCCAGCTCGATACCCTCCCAGTGAGAGGATTTAACCAGGATGCTGAAAAATAAAATTATGTAAATTTGAGAGATCATTGAATTTGGTCATAAAATTGCAATGGATTGGACATAATTAGATTGTGCCACGAAACCAAAACAAGTTCAATAACAACAACAGCAACAACAGCAACATTGAATGCATGAAGAGATGGAAATATCTCGAGAGAGTCGCTGGCTGCCTACTGCACCGATGGCCAAGATTGACAATGAGTGGGCACATAAATGGACAACTAATGGCAGCCGGCTCTGACTCGGATCGGGACTGCAAATTGTGGCTATTGCTCTCTCTGTCTCTGGTGCTGTGAATTGTTGTTGTCTCTGTCTCTGGCTGCGACTGCAAATGGAGTCGGATGTGATGCAACAGTAACATTGTATCCGAGTTGCACAATTTCGGTCAACTTCCGAGTGCGACTGGCCACCACTCACTTTTCTCTGAGATGCTGCAGCACTTCCTGCTCCTGCTGGCTGAGACCGTGGTGAACGGCAGCCAGATTCGTGTGGAGCAATTGCCGCGTCTGATTGCCAACCAGAAAGGTGGATACGTCACGCAATTGACTCGTATAGTACATGGCCAGCTTGCCCAGTTGCACACCCCGCTTGATGCACACCTCGGCAGCTTGACGTGCTATCGCCTTCTGGTCATCGGGAGCCGGATGCCAGGGCTGGGGTCCGGCATTGGTAAGCAGACCCAATGCATGGGCAGCTGCACAAATGATGCCCAGATTCTGGGACTTGAAGAAGTCCAAGTAGTCGACCAAGGAGTTGTCCAGAAGCGTATAGCGTGCATATGTGAGCACAGTCTGGGAATCAGAATTAGAATGTGAATCGGGTAGAATGAGCAAATCTCCATAGGGTAAATAGTGCTACTTACATCGAATCTGCCCTCGGCACGGGATATGCACTCCTTTAGCACCGACAGAGGATATGCGGATAGGCCAATATACTTGGCCTTGCCTTCCTTAACCAACTGTTCCAGCGCGGGCAGAGTCTCGTTGAGAACTATGTCCAAGTTTTCGGCAAACTCGACATCGTGTATTTGTATGACATCCACGTATTCCAGGCCCAACAGCTGCAGGCTCTTCTCCACGCTCTCACGAGTTTTCCGTGCGCTGAAGTCGAACATGTTTTCGTAGTCCAGCTCATAGCGTGCCACCTTGGTTGCTATGTAGTAGGCTTCCCTTGGCACATCCTTCAATGCCTTGCCGAGGACCTCCTCTGAGCGGCCCTGGCCATACCAGGGCGCCGTGTCGATGTAGTTGATGCCAGCTCTCAGCGCCTCGTGAACTGTTTTTATGCCCTCATCCAGATCGAAGCTGTAGCAATAAGAATATATATGATAAATTTCCGATCTCTCATTCTCTTTCACGTATACCCATAGTTAGAGCAAAGAGCTCCGCCACCGAAAGCGACTTTAGATATTTCCAGACCCGTTTTGCCGAGCGTGCTGTATTCCATTCGCCTCACTTGCTCCTCATCGTGAAAACCCTTGACAAAGGTACTCGGTAACTTTCCGGACATATTGATTTATTTTTAGCCGTCACAATTCGCCGTCTAAGTCGCAAAGAGACACCACTCCACAATGAATTGGTGCGGCCCAGCACTCAGCTCTTTTTGCTTCACTATCAGAGAACGGGAATGTTTTTGCATGCGTGTTAGTGTGATTGTGAGAAGTGCTTGATATGCTGAGCACTTGAGCGAGATTATAAACGAAAACATCTGGAAAGCAAAGAGAGAATTGAATACTTTCAACAGGGCTGGATCAGCCGAAGTCTGGTTAAATACGAGAGCAGACATGTGAATGAGTGATGGTCTGCAAACGAGAACAGATTTTGCCTCTTATAATTATATAAGTATGTATACATCTCTTCTTCTATATTGTAAAGATGTGAACAAAATATTTTAGTTTTAGTATAATATTAATATATGTATGAATAGTTCTACACGCCAAATCGACTCAGCTCGTCGCCCTGATCAAGAATATATACTTCTTGGGGTCTGCCACGCCTTCTTCTGTCTGTTACATACTTACCTACCTGCCATTATACGATTTCCCATTGAAAATGAGTTCAGGGTATAAAACCATTTAACCATAGCTAAACTCTTCCTTTTTTTTTTAAACTTACATACATAAATATTCATAAATATTTTCATAGCCATATATATGTATATTTATAAATATATATATGTTTACTTTAACTGTATTCTGTAGTTATACATCTGCATGCACATCAATGTAAATTTTCCACTCAGACGGTTAGTCAGGAAAACGAAACGAAAYGCTTAAATTCTCCGGGAGATTCACAGATTAAATATGAAATGCCACAAGAATACAGGGTATATAATTTCGCTGTTGGTATTCTGTTTGACGATAGGAATACATAAGTGCATTTAGTTGCTAAAAATAGAAAATATATATACATATATTTTGATAGACGCTGACAGGTAAACAAATAAATGAAATAGCGACTGAACTTGAGCTGATATTGAAGCTGATCTAATACATATATAGCATATGGGCATATTTAGATAGATATATTCAAATTTATATTCAATTTAGACACACATAAAATCATAACATTTGCTACATTTGAATTGTTGTTAAAGCTCTTCCAGCATTCGCACAGGCAGACATGGCTGACTTATTTAAAGTCCCTGACCGTCGACAACGTCGATCCCCAGCTGTAGGACTGCTTGAAAACACTGCAAGAGATATGAGAAGACAATTGGATAGTTCCACTTCCACTGAAAACCGGTTAACATAGGCCAAGTTCGTGGGGCTCTGACGCAATGCTAACACCAAATCCGAATTGCACAATTTTGCAAAACGGAAAAACGGGTCTACTCACTTTTCCCGCAGATACTGCAGCACTTCCTGCTCGGCGGAGTTCAAGCCGTTGAGCACCGCATCAAAATTGAGCTGCAGCAGACGTCGATTGGGTATGCCGATCAAGAAGGTCGCGGCGCCCTCTAGCTGCGTGGAGTAGTACATGGCCAGTTTGCCCAGTTCCACGCCACGCTGCTTGCAAATCTCGGCGGCCTGTCGACCCACTTGCTGCAGTTCCGGGCTGCCGGGGTGCCAGGCCTGTGGGCCAGCATTGGTGAGCAGGCCAAGCGCGTGGGCTGCGGCACAGATGACGCCCACATTCAGCTCCCTGAATGCCTTCATGTGGCGCAACAGAGTGTTATCCAGAAGCGTATAGCGAGCATAGGACAGGACTATGTTCACTCGACCCTTCGCTCGCTCGGCGCACTCCTTGAGAACGTCTACATCGTAGCCGGTGATGCCAATGAAACGAGCTTTGCCGGCCTTCACAAACTCTTCAAGCACTGGAATTGTCTCCTTCAACACTAGGTCAAGACTGGGCGCCGCATCCACGTCATGCACCTGCAACACGTCCACATAGTCCAGGCCCAGCAGACCCAAGCTCTTCTTGACGCTCTCTCGTGTTTTGGCCGCAGTAAAGTCGAACATGCGATCGGGGTCTAGTTCGTAGCGTCCCACTTTGGTGGCTATGTAATACGCTTCCCTTGGGACATCCATCAGCGCCTTGCCTAGCACCTGCTCCGACTGACCTTGGCCATAGAACGGCGCAGTGTCGATATAGTTGATGCCTGACTTAATAGCTTCCTGCACGGTTCTGATGCCTTCCTCTTCGTCGAATTTTTGGTCAAAGAGCGCACTCAATGTGGCCCCGCCTAGTGCAATTTTCGATACTCTTAAATTGGTGCCGCCCAACTTGCGGTATTCCATGCGGCGAACCAGCTCCTCATTGTGGAAGCCCTTCACGAAGGTAGCTGGAAGTGTTCCGGTCATTGCTGAAGTCTTAATTGAACTGAGCCTTCCACTGCACTGCCTGGAATACTTATAGACGCTCTCAAATGCAGCACCCACACGAACACACACACACACTATTCCCTACACGATTACATAGATCAGAGAGTGTGAGTGAGCTTTTGCCAAACTGAAGCTTTTTAAGTAGCGGTGCATATTTTAGTTAAGCTTAAATTTCTAGAACTATGAGAGCCAGAAATAGGGAACACTTATCACCTCTAAAAGCTCTCTTTTTTATTTAAAATCAGATTCTGCCAAATCAGAGATTTATTACTCTTTGCTTTGTTTTGGCTTTTTGTTTTGCGAGTCAAGCGAATTAGATAAATAAAATATGAATTATAACAATTATGAACACACATAAATCACATTACCTAATACATTTTATGTTTGCATTATAAAAAAATAAGTAAAATAATAATAATAATTAAAGCATAACCAATAAAAATCAGGATTTATAGTTTTTAGATTTAGTTCAAACATGGAAATGCAAATAAAAATATTTGTCTAACTTGTTCCGTCTATAGTTTATGATTTTGCTCCATCATAATTAATATAATCGTATGATATGTATAAAATTGAGATCTTCCGGAGATTTTATGGGTAAAGCTCACACGATGGTTCTTATATATTTAAAAATTGTTGGTCAAGTGAAAAGTAGTTTTTTTTAATTCTATGTATTTTATTTATCAGAAAGATAACTAACTGCATTTATTGTTTGCATAATGTGAGTTTTCAATCAATGACAAAAGTTTATTAAATAATATAAATATATATATAGAGGCATATATGTATTAGGAAAAGTTAGAGATACACAGAGATATTTGCGACAATCGATCTTTAGAAGAATACATCGAAGTCGCCTCGGGGGGGCTGATAGATGTGGGGACGTGGTCGATGCTGCTGCGCTGGCGGCGACCTAGGCACAATGATGTCGTTAATCTCGTGCAGGATTCCATTGGTGGCGATGAGATCGCATTTTGTCACGCCGGCATTTTCGATCTTGGGTCGACGGTCACGGGTGATGCGCAGATGCTGGCCGGAAATGGATTCGATGGAGCGTACGAATGGCCAGTTGGTGGGTATGATACCAGCGCAGCAGACAACATCGTTGACAATGTGCGTCTTGACCTGGGCCTCGAGCTCGGCCTGGCTCTGGGCGGGCTTGGTCTCGGTGGACTCGCTGAACTCTTCAAACACATCATTCTTGGGCACAAGCAGCGTAAAGCTATCCGATTCGTTGGCCAACAGGTGGGTCAGATTGGCCTTGCGCACCAGCTCCAGGAACTTGCTGTAGTTGGGATTGGCCTCCAGTGACTGGAGCAGATTCTATGAGTAAAAGGAAATAAACTAGATTAGGTACGGCTCAAGTCGTAGGTGCACCTCTAATCTTACATTCTTGGGCGCAGTCAGTGGGCGGTCCAGCTGATGCAGCACAGAGCCACAGCTCTCGTCATCGAAGTGCACCAGGCGGGCACAGTTCACGGTTGCCCTATTCATGACGTCCGAGAAGAGGGCGTGGGTTGAGTAGAGATTCAGGCGAACATTGGAGCCCGCCACCGTTGGCAATAAACTCTCCGAGAGATCGCACGTCTTGATCATGGGCTTGATCACATGATAGTTGAGGAACTCAGCCAAGTCCTTGTTGTCCTTCAAAGACTCTGGCTCTTCGGCCAACTTGCGCGCCCATTCCGAGTGCTGCAGCGCCTTGTCCGTGGGCGCAAAGACCGTGACGTTGTCCATATCGTCGAATTGATAGTCCAAGCCAGACGCCTCCAGCAGGCGCTTGAAGATTGTTATGTTCTTCTGCGACAGCAAAGTGGTCATGGGCAGCGCCGAATCCGTGGGCAGAATGGTGTCAATCACATGGAGCACTCCATTGGTGCCCATTATATCAGCGTCCAGAATCTTGGCGGCATTGTTGATGTAGATGGCCGACGGCTCAGTTTGGTTGGCAACTTGTTTGGTGCGGTTCAGCAGCAGTGGCTCGCCCAGCAGATTATAGGTGGTTGTCTTGGCACCCGGTAGCGTGGCCAACGAGCAGAAGGTCAGGTCCAGAATGTGGTTCTTCAGTATATCTAAGGCAAGACAATCAATAAAGGGACTCGATGCGAGGAATTGCATTCAATCTTTGCTACTTACTGGAGGCGCAGCCGCGTCCCTCCTTCAGGGCGCGTCGCAGATGTGGCTCCAGCTTATCGAAAGCGGCATCCGTGGGCACAAAGATGGTGACGGGCTTATCACCCTCCAGCAGAGCGCTGATGTTGGTCTTCTCCAGCACGGTGCGCATGATGGACATGTCCGCGCGCTCGCGTATTAGATCCATGACGTTCTTGGTCAGAGGCTTCAGCACGCCGTTGAGTGTGTGCACCAGGGCCTGTTCGGACAGCTTGTCGTGCTGCACAATGGGCACACAGTTGGCGGCGTAGCGATAGGGCTCCAGACCGAGAGCCGGTGGCAGCTGATAGGTATTGATGCGTATCTTCTGGCCGGTCAGCTCGCTCTGCAGCAGTTTCTCGTTGGGCACGTCCTCCAGCTCCACCTCGCCCTGCACGGAGTGCAGCTTGAAGATCGATGACATTTGGGAACCCTCACCCTTGGAGTCATCCACGTTCTAAATTGGAGAGTAGAAAATAGTTTTAGCGGGCACTTCGCTGGGGGTTATTAATGTCCACTCACGTTCTCCTGCTGATGCTGGCTGCGGTATTCCTGGAAGGCGGCGTCATTGGGCACAAAGAGAGTCAGCTTCTTGCCCTGGGAGTTGGACAGCATGTTGCCCAACTCGCCGGCACTCTTGGCGCTCTCAATGAACTGCTGGGCTCCCATGTCGGCGGCAGTGGCGGCGATGTCTTTGATCTCGATCTTCTCACAGGGAACCGTGAAGTCCGCATTGCGTGGTCGTCCATAGCCATAGCAGCACTGGCGTGTCATAGTCACCATCTTCTTCTTGCCATTTTGATTAACGCTGTATGGAATGAGGAAGCGAATGAATTGCAAATTAAGTATACGCAACGGTGCCAACGGTGGCTCATGCTGCCCCACTTACATCTTGGTGCAGACGTGCTTGTTCGGCTTCTCGGCACAGGAGTTCACGCTGAAGTGGAACTGGCCAAACAGTGGCGATCGGACCACATTGCCAGCCCCGTCACGTTCCTGACCGAAGCTGTCCACGGCCTCATCACCGTCTGTTTCCGTGGTTGCGCCATCGCTTTCCTCCTTCTCGGTGCACACATTGGGTCTGCAAGTAAATGGGTTGCGGGAATATGCAAAGCAAACAAATTAGTTTTCTGATGAGAAATGGAGAAACTAAATGAAGACATTACATAATACACAGCATTAACCAGAAATCGTGTGTATTATCTGTATTGCTAATAAAGAGTAGAGACTGCTCGACTAGGAGATACCTTGAACTTTGCAAAGAGCTGACAGTTCAATGCAGTAATCTAAAATCTGTAGCTCTTCAGCTATTCAAGATGAATGTCAATCGCTAAGAATTATAAGTTCTTAATGCGTATGATATAACGAGTATACATTTCAAATTTCAAGTCTTTGGCTTTTGTGGCTGTCGAGATTGCTGCGATCATATGTAAAGATAGACGGTCGGTCTGGCATAATTAGATCGTTTTAACTTCCCGTCCCAATTAAGTATATTTATACTATAAGGGCTCTATCAGGACTCGTTCATATATTTCAATAAAGCCATTATGCCACAAAATTCAATTTTCAATGCGCCGCATAATAATCGCCAATTGAAGTTCTCATATATTTTGGGACAAATTGTTTGGGTTGATTAAAGTTAATTGAATTCAAGCATTATAAAATGGTGATTGTTCCCTAGAGTACCTTATCGATCAGCGAGCTAAATCCATTAATAATAACAACCATGTCGCTCTGTTTACTGCGTCTGGGGGATGCTCTGAAATGCCCTGAGCGAAGGACGGTCGGATGTAAATAACAAAGTAGAATGATTGATAATCGGTAATAAGCAAACGGAGATGAATTAAGGGAAAAATAATCAACTTGTAGTGCTTATGGTAGATGTAAGCATTTCTTGTCTCTAGCTGTTGTGGTTTACGAGATTGCTGCGTTTATATGGACATACGTATACGGACCGAGGGTCATTGTCAGATCAGTTCAGCTCCTCTCTGCTGTCAATAGGTTCAGAGTATACAAATAGGGTAGGTAGGTGACTATATATACTATATAGTTTAAAGTTTAGCCGAGGTCTATCATATAATTTAAGAATATTATGTTTTTTTGAGGGTTGTTCATACATTGCATAATAATATTTAAGTTAATATAATTGATATGTTCATAGTCCTATATGTAGCTACAATTCTGTTCTTGAGATATTACCTCATCATCTAAATAGTAAACCTATACCATGCTAAACCTAGACTTGTTAATGCCTTTGGCAAATTGCTAACTGGCAAATGAAAAGTCAATGCACTCGCCAGAACTATCTAGATGAACACAATATATAATAAATACATACATATATGTATATGTGCTTATCCAAGTGCATGTGTAGCTATGGAACCTGTACAGTTATCATCCAATATGCGCACCCCATGAACGGCGCTGTTTACTATCTGCCCATCAATGCGAGAGCGCACTGATGATTGTTTACTTTATGGATTCGCATATATAGATACGTTTGTTCACATGGTTATATAGTTATGGGGTACCCGTGGAGGCATTATCTACTATATCTGTGTATACAAATGATGTGTGGAATTAACAGCTTAACAACTTTGCCTGCCTTCAATTCAATTATGTGTATGTGTGCGCCACAAAGCCGAGCATTGTATGGGGCATAGTTTTCGAAATTTCTCGGCCTGCCTATACATATATCAATATAGATTTATATAGGTTTATGTATATATATATACTACTTTTATAAAGTGCTAATTTTCCAATTGCTGCGTCTGACTTTCGTTCTCGGTTCCACAAATACAAATGCACTCGGTTCCAATTGATTTCACAATTTTGCTTGAATCACAATTTAGAAA